TGTTTTGTAAAGGTTCAAGTTTTAATAAACACAGTAGAACTTTCTTCAGTTGCTCTGAACTTGACATTTTTTCTGTTAAAAATTTAAGTTAAAAATTACTTATGTATTCATAAAAAATTACCAACTTGAAAAATCTTGATTTTTAGTAAATTATAATGTAGTGTACAATTCTACGTTGTTAAATATTCCATTTATTAGAGCCATTATTATTGATCACATCTTATTAAAGCTTTCAAAATAATTATAAATATAAATTAATACAACGTTCTCATCACTAGCAGTATTATTTTTCAAAATGTATTGATTCAAATTTTAAGTACTCACTAGAGTTACTTCAATCATTACAGTTGCAGCTGCTGGTATTATCTAAATATAGACCTCGACTTTTAAATATGATGTAACAATTTAGATTTTTCCGATTAAAGAGCAAAATTTTTTTTATCCCACCAACAACTACAATTGCCAAATAACATAATCTTTGACATAAATTCCAAAGTAAACGTTTCAACTAAAAACAGAATAGTTACAAAATGTCTTTAGAAGTTCAATAAAAAAACGACTCGATCCAGAGCTCAACATCGTTAAGAACTTGGTAAAAAAATTAAAAAACTAATAATAATAATGATATTAAACGAAAGAGAAAAAAAGTCACTTTTCCAGGCACGACCTTCCAGTTTTAACGGACCGTAGCGACGCGTTGCGAAAAAAAAATTCCTTCTCAAATACCTGAAAGACATCCATCCCTATTATGGCCAAATGCAGCCGATCCTGTGCCAGCTAGAAAAACTCTCGCTGTTTCTACTACGCTAGTCCGTTCACTGACATTTTCCAGAGGATAAAAACTTATGCAGTAGCCTTGATGGAAAAACCAATGAAAGCGCAATGTTTGGAGGGGACTGATGGTGTGATCTTTAATATTTTATTACAAATTTTTTTCTTCTTTATACATAAAGACTATTTGAATCAAGCGATAAAAAAATATGCCAATTAAGAGACTCAAAAGAAATCAATAAAATTTATAATATTTTTAGGAAATCCGTATACCAATCCCACAACCGTATCAAGTACCTTTGAAAATACCTCACCCACAGCCAGTTGTCATTGAAAAAAATATTGAGATCCCAGTGGAAAAGCTGGAGCCATACGTTGTAGAAAAAAAGGTACGGAATTATTAAATTTACGTTAATTTCATTTGAAATTGTAATCGGTACCGATCATATTTTTGCGAGTCAAGAGACTTTCAAAACATTCTTTGGAAGTATGACTTTGATAAATTTGAGATCATGACTCAATTAGTGGTTATACTGAGACCCTTTATATTCTCCTGAACTTTTCATGTCATCCGCATTCTCAATTATACTATTTTAAATAGAATTAACTAAGTAAAATAAAAAATTAAGCTTCAACACATTAATATCACGTGCTTTTTAAGACTACCTTAACATTTCATAAATATATTTTATTTAAATTCAAATAATATTCCTTCTTTTTGTCGTAGCTTCCCACTGCAAGAATTAGTTAAAAACTAAAAACAAGAGTAACGATAATGATCTACTTATGTAATGTCTTAAGTATAAGGGTTAATCAGATAGTTTGATATATAACGTTATTTCTAAGCATAAAAATATACTTTTTAAATCAATGCACAACTTTGAATCCCACAACTAGATAACTAACTTGATTCGCTGTAAATTCTGACGGTTTAACTATTAAATTTACCAACTTCAGATAACCTCCGAATCTAGTGAACAAAAAAAGTCAAACTAGCATTTTAGACGTAAACGACAAAGTAGCAGGCCAGTACATCCAATATTTTTTTACTTCCCCGAAACCGGTGAATCCATACAACTAGATTCCGCGATAAAGATGTGAAAAAAACAGATTTTACGTTAACTCTGTCGTCTATTTTCGTTTACTCACGATCGCACATACAAACAAATGTATGATTAAACCCACAAAACCTAAATACATCGATGACACCAGTAATACAAATAAGAAAGGAGACAAAATTAAACTGCCTCAAATTTTGCCTGGATCATTCGCAACCCGTTACGCATCCGAGGCAGTTCTGATAGCTACGCTCAGGCTGTGAATTACTATCACGAGCTAACTGCACCAGTGACGCTTACAAAAATTCTTTTGCCTGTATAGGTACTTAGCTTCCTCATCCTTATTTGAAAAAAGTTTTTTTTTTTACGCCTAATCTCTTATACACCTCCGTAAAATAAATTTTCATCTCCAAACAGTTTGAAATACAAATTGTTTTTATAATGGAAATCAAACGTGTAGCTTCTTATGCAAGTCTTACGTTAAATTTATTTCAAAAGATAATTGTACACTGCAAACTTACTTTCAGCATATTATATGATTTTCACAAGTTACAAAAAGCAGAAGTTATTGTTAGTAAACCTATCACACTAATCGATTACAAGCACACTTTAAACTACAAAAAAAAAAAATAAATAAATAAATAAATAACTGTTTGCCTACTAAAGTCAAGTGATCCGTAGATTATAAAAAGATTTATTTCACAATAGAGAAGGAATTATTGTTTGGTTTGTTAGTGCACAATGGCATTTTTAGTTTGTATTGTTTAATATTTTTTTTGATCATCAAAAAATTTTGTATACTTTTTTCGTTGAATATTTTTTCAAAAACTGCAAAAAATATAAATTTTGTCAAACACTGAAGGAATTTTTAGGTCTGATTGATTATTTACAAACGAGTAAAATCTATCAAAAATGATATTAAAAATGTGAAATGCATGTATCTAATTTTTCTTACCAAAAAATATTGTTTTTAAAATTCGCAAATAACTATAACAAAAAATTATGAAAAAGACAATATAAAAAACATCAATTTTTTTAAATAAAAAAAAGCACATAAAATTTTAAAAAATTATATTAGGAATATTATTGCAATATATACATTCAACAAAACTATATGATTTGTCAGAAATTTTTTGACTTTTCTGAATTTTTCAATGATTATAACGTAGAACTATAAAAAGTGTATGTAAAAAATGGATTTTGAAAAACAAATCGAATTTTAAAAAAGAGGATTAAGTTAAAATGAAAGTAATCGAGAAATTCACATGATCGGCTTATGAAACTCACTCATACCACACACACACACACGCACAGAGACAGAATTTTTTGCCAAATTAATGAACTTTGATTCTCAAATTAACAATGCAAAGTTTAAAACAAGGCATCTCAATCCATGGTTGTGGCCTATTACAAAACTCCTCTTGCAGAAATAAAAAAGGTAGAGTTTTGTTGTGTCTGCGTGATATATGGGTAGAAAGCATCCCCCGAACACAGGAAGTAATCAATGTATCATATAAGCTTGCCAATACCATCTCATTTCTGAAACGTCTCTTACTGTCTGTTCACAGGTGCCTTTCGTTATAGAAAAGCCTTATGCGGTGTACGTCAATAAGGAGGTGAAAATTCCAATTTATAAGCCAGTAGCAGTCCATGTACCAGTCTATAAGCATGTGATTGTACACAGCTCGAAACATAAGGATTGGGATTAAACGTTGACTATGGAACTTTTTGTGGCATCAAAGATGATGTTATTCTTTTCACTATACTATTCGTAGCTGTTATACAAGCACCAGTAAGCTAAGTTTATTCCTTCGATATAGTCGTTTTTTTTTTATTTGTTGTGTTTGTCTTTCGTAATGAAATGGGTCACTATAGCTGTGATTTGTATTTTATTTAGTTGGTGTAAAATATCGAATGATGTGATGTATTTTTATTCTAATACAGTGGTAACTGACGTCTATTATTAAAATAAAGCATTTTAAGTGTTTCTAGACAAGTTCAATTATTTTTCAAGCAGTTAAGAAAATCTTATACAGTTTTCATGATTGTACTGTTTTGTAAAGGTTCAAGTTTTAATAAACACAGTAGAACTTTCTTCAGTTGCTCTGAACTTGACATTTTTTCTGTTAAAAATTTAAGTTAAAAATTACTTATGTATTCATAAAAAATTACCAACTTGAAAAATCTTGATTTTTAGTAAATTATAATGTAGTGTACAATTCTACGTTGTTAAATATTCCATTTATTAGAGCCATTATTATTGATCACATCTTATTAAAGCTTTCAAAATAATTATAAATATAAATTAATACAACGTTCTCATCACTAGCAGTATTATTTTTCAAAATGTATTGATTCAAATTTTAAGTACTCACTAGAGTTACTTCAATCATTACAGTTGCAGCTGCTGGTATTATCTAAATATAGACCTCGACTTTTAAATATGATGTAACAATTTAGATTTTTCCGATTAAAGAGCAAAATTTTTTTTATCCCACCAACAACTACAATTGCCAAATAACATAATCTTTGACATAAATTCCAAAGTAAACGTTTCAACTAAAAACAGAATAGTTACAAAATGTCTTTAGAAGTTCAATAAAAAAACGACTCGATCCAGAGCTCAACATCGTTAAGAACTTGGTAAAAAAATTAAAAAACTAATAATAATAATGATATTAAACGAAAGAGAAAAAAAGTCACTTTTCCAGGCACGACCTTCCAGTTTTAACGGACCGTAGCGACGCGTTGCGAAAAAAAAATTCCTTCTCAAATACCTGAAAGACATCCATCCCTATTATGGCCAAATGCAGCCGATCCTGTGCCAGCTAGAAAAACTCTCGCTGTTTCTACTACGCTAGTCCGTTCACTGACATTTTCCAGAGGATAAAAACTTATGCAGTAGCCTTGATGGAAAAACCAATGAAAGCGCAATGTTTGGAGGGGACTGATGGTGTGATCTTTAATATTTTATTACAAATTTTTTTCTTCTTTATACATAAAGACTATTTGAATCAAGCGATAAAAAAATATGCCAATTAAGAGACTCAAAAGAAATCAGTACTTACTATTAAAAAAGATCATCTCCACTTTCATTTTCAACGAAAACACAAGTGATTTTCTTGAATAAAACATTGACGGAAAGTAAGCAAACAAAATAGCACTATTTTTTAAAAAACATAATGACATTTCATATGTGTATTAAGAGCAAGTCTAGCTTGTTAATAAGAATTGAGCACAGTCTGGGAAAGGAAAAAAAAAATTTTTTAAACTCCACACGTTGTGTAGTAGTTGTGTAAGCTTATAATCACCATTGAGTTCTCAATAGTGAATACTTACCCATTGCACGAAATTCTCCCTATGGTATCTCAGCTTGTGTACTTTCACACACGTACGTTCGTGTGGAATGAGAATCGCCAAAACTCTCGAGCAAATCATCCAAGTGCTACACAGGACGAGATCTCGGACCGTGAGTCAAAATCAATTTCCTAATCGCTCCAGAAAACTTTCTCCGTGAGAAAGGAAATTGGCAAGTGCAATACTCCCAACACAGGAAATAAATGTTCCATCAGCGAGACGGTGGGCCCGTTCATTGTTGTCACACCACAAACTCCATCACTGCGCCAATCCACTGAAATCTTGATTCTCCATTACCAGGTATGATTAAAGTGACTTTTACTCGTGCGCTTTCACCGGTACTCGCAGTTTGACAGAAAAGTTTGTGTATCTAAGAAGAAATTGAACCATCGTTGGTTATACATCTGATTCTAGTCACGAGGTCCGAGGGTATATGGAATCTTACCTGAATGTCAGCGTCTAAGGATCGTCAACATCTGACGCAAGAGTGACGTAATACAGCTCCGCGCGTGTGACAAGGGAGTTACAGCGTGTATTAAGGTTACGGGAAAATATACTAATGAGCGGAGAATATTTTTAAAAGAGCAATATAAGAGATTTGAAAAATGTCTATGCACTGACATCGATAGTAATTGAGTAACTGAAACAAGTGTGCTGGACGTGTAACACTATTTTTGAGTTTATAAGGGAAAAGCTTTAATATCTATCACAAACAATTCTACAATTTTGTAAAGAATTTTTCAACTTCAAAACAATTAAAAAAATTATTCAAATTTTTCATTTGATAATCTTAGAAAAAAAATAAATGACAATTAGACTCGAATTTTTAAGTATCAAAAAGATAGACTACGATCCATTAATTAAGAAACGTATTATCATAAACACAAGGAAGTGTCATAAAAGTATACCTACTATTCTCAAAGCAATTAAAAACTTGAGCTGTGCAGTAGAACAATGGCCCAGAGAGAAATTCACAGAAAATAAATTGTACCAGTGACAAAGATGCTTATTTACGCAAAAGCCTCGTAAACTCAACACCTTATACGTTATTGAGTGTTATAGTAGGAAAACACTGTAGTCGTAGCTCTTTCTCTTGCACATGTGCTTTTATCTCAGGAGAATTCCGTGGCTTGTAGACGAGCGTGGGAGGAGAGTGTCGGTGTAATAGCACAAGTAAATACTCGGAGTCTGCACTAGACGCAGAGGGGAAGGGAGAAAGTTTTTAGATGGTTGGGTATATAAAGAACTTGGCCGTGACTTTGAGCTCATAATTGCAGTTAGATAGCGGACCGTAGAATATTCAATCTAACTGATACTGAAGCACTAGACTTTTCTGTTACGATGAGGATTCTCGTGAGTTTGCATTATTTGACATTCTGGTTTCTATATAAGAAGTTGTGCTTATTTGACAAGTGATGTGAAATGGTACATTACGGTTCAGGGAGCAAAGTACTAACTCGAAGAACCAAATGTTTCAAGATCTTCTGTTTTATTATACTTTTAAAGTTATTAATAGAATATTTCTTTCTTTTTATTACTAAATCTTTCAGTGACCACTCAAGTTGGATCAAAACAAAATTTTACATAGAAACTTGTGTTTTGGTAATTCAAAGAGGAAATTATTATGTAAAATATGTATGCTAATATTTTATAATTTTTTTACAAAATTTTACATACTGTTTTGGATTCACCTTTTTTTTAAAGTGTATAACAGAAAAACATATACAAATTACTTCTTACTGAATAAGTTTTACATAAAAAAATTTTTATGTAAAACTTATTATGACGTTTTGACCTATTTAACAATTT